AAAATTTTAATAAAATATTATATTTTGTAATGTTAAAAATAAATTAAAGTAATTAAAGATAGATATAAGATAGAAGCTATAATAAATATTAACAAATATAAAGAAATTAGAGATTCTCAAGTCAAAACAAGAATACAAAAAATAGATTGACAAGAGCTAAGAAGGCCTCACTCTTACTATAAATAGTTAGAAATTTTTATAAGATATTACCAAATTTACTCATTTCTATTTATTTTTATTTAACTCTTAACTTTGTTAGTGACAATGTATTTATAAAAATTTTAATAATTTTTAAATTTGAAGATTCTAATTTATAATATAAAAAAATTAATGATATTTTTATTTTTTAAAATTAAGAAGTTATATTTAAATTATCTTTTAAATAATTTTTTTCAATCAGTACAAGTTAAGCAATTCAAGTATCTAATAATTAAATAATATATTATAACTTGGTGTATTTTTATTTTTATTTTTGTTTTTTAGAAAGAGAAGAAGACTTCAATAATATAAAAAATCTTAATGATACAAGTGCTGGAGGTATTTTTATGCTTATCTCTTTAGCAACTAAACACTTGGTATATAATATTGACTTGTTAATGTATCTATAACTTTAAACTAAAGATGTGATATATGTTATTTTAGAATAAAAAATAAAAAGGTATCAGAGTACTTGCAAAGTTAGATAGATTCTATATGAACTGTCTTTCTTTACAAATAAAATAAAAACTAAGAATATCACAAAAGAGGTGACAATGCCTTGTTAGACTACCTCTCAGTTGACTTAACTTTCTAACTACAAAAAATGTCTTTTGGACACTCTTATTATAAATTAATTTTTTAAAATAAAAGATTAAATAAATTTTTAATGGATATTAGAAATTTGGACTTAATACAATACAAGAATGAATATAAGACAAAGGCATTTGATGAATTTATAAGTGGGCCATCTATAATTTTATTATTTACAAAAAAATAAGTTGTTTTAAGAATAATATAAAATGTCAAGCTCAAAAAAGATCTTTAGATGGCCCACTTATAATCTTATGTCAATCCATAAGATCTCAATGCACAAGACTAACTTAAGCTAATTTAATTTTAACTTAATCAATTAAAAGAGTGAGAAGAAGGAAGATAATATATTTTAAATAAGGAATGATGAGTAGAATGTTTATACTTTGGTAAAGATTTTAAAACAATTCAACTTAGCTTACCATCTTCAAATCAACTTTTTTAAATTAATAATATTCTAATAATGAAATAAATCTTTGTATTGTCCTAATTTGATAATTTTGATTAGGCATGGGCTTCATCAAATAATATGAATAAATTACTTGAAATTCCTTTTAGCTTCTTTTTTGTAATATGGATGTATATAAATTTTTTATAAATCATTTTTTTTGCAAGTTAGAATATTGGTGTTCCATCCAAATTAATATGGCAAAATGTATTGTGGTTGTAAATATTATTATTATTTAGTTATTTGTTTTTTTAGATATTTTAATTAGATTTTTAATAGCCATTTAGAAAATAAAATCATTGATTATGAATTTCTTGAATCCTCTAAAATATTGTAAACTAAATAGATTGTAGATGTTCTACAATATATTCATTCTAACATCCAAAAATTCTTATAATTTAAGATGATGAATGTTAGACCCAATATAGTTAGGTATTGGTTTCTAAATTGTACTTGGTCTTTAATTCCTAAATATAAATAGAATATTGGATCTAGACATAGGAAAAAATAGGTCTATTCTTAGCTCAAATGTGCCAATATTTCTAATCTAATTTATCAAATGCTTTACTATAAAGTCTAAAATAGATTCTTATAGTTGGATCTTATATGTATAATTATTTACTTTCATTTTGATTTATTTGAAGTAGCTTCTTGATACTCAAATAGATTATAAAGATTTAAATATTTAAAAATTTAAGAATCCTTATAATATCTTTTGATTGAAGAAGCTTTAAAAAAGTATAAAATATTTTATGATAATAGAAAAAAATTACCTTTGGGCGGTTTTACTTTTATTTTTAGATCTTAAGAATCTTTTTTTAATAAGATTGGATTTCACTAATGGCCTAAAATTATATTATACTATATATATTTGAAGAAAATTAATAATTATTTATAATTCTTTAACTTCTAATCTAATAAAAAAAGAATAAAAGAAGATAATTAATTTACCTTCTTACATCAAATTTGAATTAAAATATTGAAATTCAAGCCTCAATCTAAAATTTTTATACCATGAAGAAAAACTTTCCAAAGCCTTAAAGTCCTATAGCTTAATGAATATAAAGCCTCTAGTGAAAATCAATTGGGAAATGCATTGGACATGTAGCTATAGAAGGATTTGATCTTAACTTACAATTGGATTTTCAACCCAAAAATAATACATAAGGTGTTTAAAAATACCTTCTTAGTAATCTTAAACAACCTAAGTAAGATTCAAATTATGCTAAGTGTTCCTTATCAAATTCAGAAAAATCCTTAAAAAATCTTATGTTAATTTTTTGAACTCCAAATAAACCTTAAAAAATCCTTAAAAATCCTAATTAAATTTTAAAGAAAACCAAATAAATTCTAAAGAAATCTTGAAGAGATCTTTAAAAATTCCTAGAATTATTAAGAAATCATGAAGAAATTTGAAAGAAATATTAATCAAATCTTAGCTAATTTTAAAGATATTTTAAGCAAATCTTAATTAAATATTAATAAAATATAAATTTAAATATTAATTAAATCTTCGTCATATTCTAATAAAATTCTAAATTAATCCTATAAAATCTTTATTAATTTCTAATTAAATTCTAAATAGATCTTTAAAAACCTAATCTAATTCTAACAAAATCTAAACTAAATTTTATAGCAAATTTCAAACCTTAATAATTTTTAATTTCATCGTGGATCGTCATTTAAAATATTCATACTTTTTAATCTATTAGTTGATAACAACCATACAAAATTTGAAGACAATTAAATTTATAGATCATAAGTAAATTCTTTTAATCCACTCAAGTGTCAATTGTTATCCTTCTTCAACCTTAATGTTGATCCTCTAATGCCAAAAACTTCTTTTATCACTATTCACTTCAAAATCCAATTTTCAAGCTCTTAACTTAATTGAATCTCAATTATCTTTGATTTGATTTTTTGACTAAATTCAATTTAACAACAAATATCTAATCTAACAACATTCTAAAGTTTGTAAAATTTTACATGTAGATCTACTATAAGACTCATACAATTCATCAAAATATATATTTTTTTCTATTCTACAAAAAACAAAGTCACCTAGTATAACCTTAACTTTGCAAAGCTTTTATAAATTCATTGTCTATTCAAATTTCTCAAAACTAATGCTTAAAAAAATCTTATTAAATTTGCTCTTTATTCACATGCTTTAATCAACAAAAACAATCTCATGTTTATTGTAGGTGCACAATTTTGTGCCTCAAAGTCTAGTTTCAACCTTGATTCATAATAGGTCCTCTTTTGATATTAATCTAAGGATTTTTTAATTTTTTAATTTTAATTTTATTTTTAAATAATTTTTATTGCAAGCTATTCTTTACTTTCACTTAAAATGCCTATAATATTATTTTTGCTAACCTATTTTTTTTTTATCTTCTTTATGGTTTTACAAAGTGAAGAAAATTATTTTTATACTAAAAAGCAACGTTAATACTAAATTATTTTTATTACCTTTTCAACTTTTACTTGTTGTTAAATTAATTTAATATCATATTTTAAATTAAAATATTTTATAATATAATCATTTATTTTATTTCACCCAATTGCCATGTTATAGCACAATATTGCATCTGTTTATTTTATTAGCCAAAATGCAGAATTTTTTAAAGCTTATAGGCATTTCTGAATTGGTGTATGGTAGATTTAGACTTGTGTTAAATAAAAATGTCACAATTTGCATTAATAAGTGGACTAATTTTTCTTCTCCATATGTTGATAGCAATATCTTTGTTCCAAATGAATTAGATAATTATAGCTTCTTTATAAATATGGAGTTGAGTCTAAACTGCAATCCAATTAAATTGAAAATTTTGATTAAGCAATGTACTTTATTTTTGTGAGGATGTATTGGAGGTAGGAGTGTTTTTTTTATAAAAGTTTTTTCTCTAATTTTATATATTATGTTGTTGACTCATTTCTTAATGATTAAAAATATAAGCTAAAATCAAAGATAAGACATAAGAAATGGGAATCACAAAAGACATTCTTTTAAAAATAAGCCATATTTGCAAATAAGATTCCTTCCAAATTTACATATTTTAAAAAAAATTAGTTGCTACATCAAAGACTTTTCTTACAAATAATTTGAATTCTAAGAAATAAATTTATATTTGAATAAGAAGTATGGAACGAGCTCCATACTAGAAAAGTAAAGTAGCAAGATCTCATAGATTATGGATAGATTTGCAAGAAGTTCTTATAAAAGAAAATAAGAAAATATCTAAGACAAAATATAACTCTTTTGAAAAAATGGAGTAAATCTTGAATGGCAAAACAAATGATAGATACTTGAGAAAATATGGTAATTAAATGGATTTCTAGAGTACTACATAATGGTTCAAGGATATATGAGAGTGTATTATCTCATGAACTGAAGTTACTTACTTCAAGATGAACTCTTAACTCTGCCCAATCAAGTATTAGGAGTCAGGGTATTAGGGGTCAAACTATCTTTCGTAACTATTCACTGCATCAATGCATTTGGTATACCTACTTTTGTATCAAAAAATAATAATAATATCAATTATTCATACTTAACTATCTTAAATATTTTAATGGCATAAACTTCACTCCAGGTTAGCATCTATCCATTCACAACACATATAAATAATAAAAAATAGTTAGTGATTTTTTTAGTTAGTTTTCTGCATTCTACTCTCACCTATTAGATACTTCTAGCAATTGAGGTGCACAGAAAGAGGTTGCTTTTAAATTCAAAATGAAACACATTTAGAAATGAAGATAAAAGTATGAAGTATAAGAAGCTTCAGCAAGACTAAAGAATCAATAGATTTTGTTTTTCGTTACATATACATGATCTTAGCAGTTATTCAATTCATATGTCAAGGTGATCCACACAGCCCTAAACAAGATTGACCATTACAAGATCATGTGGATGTCTTCACATTGACCTTTTTATCTTGTGCTTGGAGCTCCTGTATAGAATTAAGCAGTCCTACACACGCATCGTCCAGCAAATCCAGTACCTGTAGGCTCAAAACACAGTGACCAATCACAGTAAGTAGTACCCAAGTGTTGGAAATTGCTTAGAATTGATCCCAGAGTGATGTGTTATGCTTCAGTGGGAACTCACTGGAACTAACTCTGAACGTATATTGTTTTGGTAAAGATCAGTAGACAATCCCAGATCTAAATCTCTATTTCTACAGGTATTGTGCCATTAGTTGCTCACATACCTTCTCAAAACCTGCCGGTCCTCCATAATACGGGTCTGGCACCTCATCAACGTCGTGTTTGGTGCAATAGCTGCACATTAACTTGACCTGATATAACGAAGAAAGGTTTGTGTCAGGTCCAACCTACATGTTGCAAAGTTTTATAAAGTACAAAGAGAACTATATCAGCAGTTTCAAGTAATGAAAATTCTCACTCTTACTGACCTTCTCTTTTGCACCAGCTGGGAGGGTGCCCCTTCTGTTCCAACTATCATATGCCGTTAGGATGTCCGCTGCAAACAGAAGAAAGAAAACCGCTGCTCAAACCATGCCGAACCTCAAACGCATCCGTTTTATTTGCGAAGTTGAATCTACAAAATAATTCTTATGATCCAACATAAAAACCAATCAAAGTAGAATTGAAGTGAAACAAGACGACTCCAGTAACAAACCCGAACACGTCAAATAATCTACCTTTGTTTGACTTGTCCATTGCAAGTATGAGATCGAACTCTTCAAAATCGGAGGGTCGAATTGGCCTCGAAATGGAAGTAAGCTTCACTCCTCTCTTCAATGCTGCAGCTTTCATTCTGGGATCAGCAGGACTTCCCTGTCACAATCGTGTGAAAGTTATGTAAAAGATATCTTGTGAAATCCGGCGATTCTACTACTTACAAAAAAGTCTTCCATGTACAGAAGGCGATAGGAAAAAGATCCCGATTACCAGCGTTTCGAGAATGAATTAGCATTACGGCTCGAGGAAAGTAACATACTTCATGGTAACCGATTGTGCCTGCTGAATCAATGTTGAATTGAGAGTCCAGCTTGCGCTTCTCCACTACATCTCTGAACACAGCTTCTGCCGATGGGCTTCGACATATGTTGCCTGTTTACCCAGCCGAAAAAGAATGAAATGAAAATTGAACCTTCTGAGAGTATGAAACGTGATGGACTGAAGAGAGCAGAATGCCGAGGAAATCGCTCAAAAGAGTGCGCGACAATGAATACGATTCCCGAGGGAATGCTTTATAATGACAGAGGATTACGTCTACGAACTGGTTCTGTAGCAGCAGACTCTCTTGAAGAATTCCCCGCAAATGGATTGGAAGGTCGTTAAGATAAACCTATGTTCCTTCGATTCACTAATTTACGAACATCGACAGAAGAGTTCTTCAATTCAATGGTCATGACCTAGGAATCACGACGTTTACACTGTTTAGCAAGTGACTCAGAATAGCGAGATGTAGTATCTCACCCAAACACACGAACAACACTCCGAAAGGCCTTGATTCAGCCTCAGATGTTGAAGAAATCTCCGTGGAGGCAGCCATTTTCACCCGGCCAGCAGTACCAACACCTGCTCTCCCTTTCGATCGCCCTGTAGCTTTCACAGATCCCCCGAGGCTCTTGTTCACAGAGAATGAAACCTTCGCTAACCCTAGTGCGGGAATCAAGTAACTCTTAAGTTTAGTGGGAGAAAACGTAGATCTAGTCGGAATTCCAGCGACAGGCACCGTCTGAGAGAAGGCGCACGCCGTTGCCATACCCGTCAAGGGCAGTGCTCGTCCTTCACCTTCCTGTGCGGACTTGGAACCTATGGAGAGGTACAATGTATGTCTCATCTATTTGAGGTGGGGCTCAACATGCTCAGCCTCCCAAATTTCAATGTCGCCGACCTGTTAAAACCCAACTCCGAATTGTGGCCCATCTTAGTGGACGACCCAAAAACGGAGCGACCGTTGGATAGAAAAAAAACTCGTACCTAATCCAGAGGCGATTCTGCGTAGGGTAACGAAGGCCAATGTCCGAGGCTCCTGAAGAATAGCTTTCCATTGCCCCCCTCACTGATGTTGGAGGCTCAGCTGCATTCGGTCCACCTAATATTGCATTCATTTTGCAAAACTACCATACAAGCGGTTTCCGCGGGTGATGTTCATCAGATTACGGGAGGCAGTAATTTACTGCAGAAACAGTGACCAGTCCTTGTGGTCACATTTTGTGATGACGTCATGATCTGTTCCCTCTAGTATACAAGCCTCATCGTCAGACTCTAATTTTCTATCGATTTTCTCTGAATCTGAAGTCACAAGTGTGTCGTCGACGTCCTGTTCACATTTTTGTGCAATATGAAGATAATTGTCTTGGAATGTAATCGTCAGATATCCTCCTTTTGCACACGAAGTCGAGTAGCTCAATTGTTATTTCCCGGTGCGAGAGTTGTGAAGCTCTTCACACTTGGCTTCCGTAATTTGATATGAGGTCAGAATCCCTCCGCGAGGAACTATGTTCAATTAGCAATCAATACAAAAATGCTGTAGTCGTTGCATCTGATGGGTATGTTGCGACAAATACTTTCAGTGCAGTCTTGTGGAGAAGGTGACATTGTGTACCACAAGATTTGCATTATGATATTCAATAGCAAGTGCATTTTCCTTGGAACCCATGTTCCCAACTTCGTACTTCAAGCCATCTGGATATCATACTTCTACTGTAAGGAGGACAACTTGTCTTCGATGTATAATTATACAAATAACGGTAACCAATGCCCCACCCTGATGACACCTCTTTTGCCGCTCCCGCTCTCTCCTGTTTTAGTTAATCATACGCCTTTCATGACTACCTCAAGTGGTTAGGAACAAATCTTCAGGTTTGCTGATAGGGTTTCCAATTTGAGAGTGATTCCCCGCTGGTATTATTGGCCTCTGTATGTGTGTTTTAGTCTTTTCCAAGACCGTCAGGGTGGTGGTGAGTCGTGCCCACCAGTTTCTTATTTCGTAGACTTAGAGCTTGGTTGCAACTAAGAGTGCTTCTGGTGCCGATTCTCTACAGAGAGACTTTTCCTGGCGCGTGTCCTGTTTTAGTCAGATTCATTTCCATCCAATTTCGAAGTTCATGTGGAAGCTCCGTGGGTTATTTAACAACTGATTTCCGAAATTATTTCTTTTTTCTTGATCTTTCGAAGCATTCCATGCAGTAGAAGTTCATGGTGAGATTGTGCCTTTTCCCAAAATTAGAGACTAACAGATGCGTTAGTGCACAGCAATTATAGCGCACGAGGACTTCAAGTGATTTTAGCATGGCATCGGAGAATTCTGAACATGACTCATTGTCCGTGTCTGAAGAGAGCAGCTTCAATTGCGACACCGTTAGCCCTGAAAGTCTTCCCAGTTTAAAAGTTGAAAGGAAACCTGACAATGATTGCTCCGTAGGTCCTGTCATAAGTCCTAGAATGTCTGCTGAGTTTGGAAACTATTTGGACAAGGCGATTGCTCAGGGTAGTCGATCGTTCTATGGGACGGACAGTGAGGCAGACGATGACCACGGCGATGACGGCGGTGGCTGTAATGTAGTCTCGATGGGCAGAGTGGCCCACGCGCTTTCTGAAGATATCAATCACAGAATTCGGTCAAGAGTAAGTCCGTGCTCGTCAATACCAGACAATGATGAGTGTGCAGGAGATGAGTCACAGATTTGGGACAATGTGGTTTTGAACGAGGATCCAGTGTCCGCTGAGATTCAGTCAAGCTCTGTTGTGAAATTTGATCACACCTTTTATTTGCTACCAAAATGCGAAGAACGGTCAGCGCAAACTTCATCTCACGAGGATGAAGTTAAGCTTGAAAATAAAGAAATTCCTGAAGTTGCGCATACTCCATCACAATCTTCGGGTACAGTGCCTTCAGCTGAGCGTCTTGCAAATTCAGAAGATTTAAAGAAGCCATTACTCGATGCTAATCTTCTCAAGGAGCGAGAAAGGCAGCTGCAAGAACGAGTGAGGTTGCTGAAAGTACAGAACTTTTATCGGCAGTCATCGGCCAGCTGTACCGAATCTTTGATGGAGCAGTTGAAGAAGATCGACCTCACCTTGGATCGTGGAATATTCAAAGTGTGCGATCGTAAACTTAGCGAAAATGGTATAGATTTTACCTCAAATTGAAGCTACATAGGGTGAGTGCATTACAGACACAGACCTGCGCCAAGGTGATGAAGCTGTGGCCTCCTTAAAATTTAATGCGCTTGTCTATAGGAATCTTCATGGCCAAAGTTGCTTCTTCATGAACGATCGAGACCAAAAAACGCAGATTTTGGGCTCATGTGCCTGGAGTCCGTATCACTAGTCACCAACACGGCTTTTGGCAGTAGTTAAGATTTCCTTTCTGAGAAGTGTGTCCTTCAATCAAACTTACTCTGTATATAAATCCTCCTTGTGGAGGTTCTGCGAGATTTTGACTTGTGCTCTTTGTTCTTCTTCACACGGCAACAGCTTTAGCGACAATTGTGGACGCTTTCAAGAACAATAACCAACTGACGGAGCTCGACCTAAGTGGTAACCTTCGATATCTTTGTCCAGGAAATTTTTCTGTGATTGCGAAGTTCTATAAAATTAAGCTCCGGCCAGGTAAGTTAGGACAGGGTTTCTATTTCCAGACAGAGGAGCACTCCAAGCTTTTTTGATAATGAATAATTGTCTTACGGCAATGTTGCTGATATCTTCTTCGATCATGTGCAATTGTAATTTCCTGGAATCACAGGGTGTTGTATCCAAAAGGGGGATGATCTTGCCGAGTTTGTTCGGACGGCCCCTTCTTTACAAAGGTCCACCTCTTTAACCGCCAAGTTCACTGCCCTTTACTTGCTGGTAGAATGCAGGTTCGTTTTGTATAATTTACACCCAGTAGCAATCTGGTTGTGGCAACAACCCCCTCTGCAACTAGTTTTTGTATGCTCTCATTCTCAAGCTGTATGCTGCCAATGTGTTCGAGTTGGCCATCTTGTGTTCTCAAGCTTGTGAAGCGTTTGGAGAGTAGATTAAAGCTTGATCATCCTGCGTCTAAAGCTGTTTCTACTCTGTGCACTGCTTCATCCTGGTTAGTGGCGATTTCTTGAACAGGTTACTGTTGGCATGGAACTCTTTGGGTGCGGCTCGTACTGGTGTTGCAGCTCTTGCATTTGCCATCGCGTCTTCCCCTTCACTCCAAGAGGTTCTTCCGTATCCTACAGGGAGAAAGTTTTGTCATGCTGAATTTTATGTTCCACTTGTCCTTCTATGCGATACCTCATGATTGTCTAAACCTCGAATGATCTTTTCTGCAAGTGTCTAGTATTTTGTAAATTGACGAATCTGTGATGCACAAAGACGTATATTGCATGCCTTGAATGAAAACCGCACGATTCGAAATTGGTTTTAGTGAAAATACCATTCTTTGTAAGGTGATGTATCAGTATTTGAATAAGGTCTGTCCTTAACTGATATTCTGGTAGTTGTTGGATTGGTGACATGTTTTAGGTAGATCTACGAAGCAACCAAATAGGACCAGCCACTGCTGCGGCTTTGGCGCTTGCCCTTCGTACAAATAACACGCTGAAACGCCTTGGTATTTCAAGGTCCCGTTGCCTCCATCTCACCTCTTTCTTGTTGAACCGTCTTTTAGTCATTCGATCCTTTTTCTATTCGACTAGCCGAGTTCACATGATTAGGATCTAAGTAAAAAAATTCATTTTCGTGTTCATAGTCTCTTTGCAGAAAATTGATTTCAAGAATGCATGTTTTGATCCAGACTTGATGTGGAATGAAGTTGGGGCAAGTGGTGGAATAGCTCTGTTAGGCATGCTTGAGAAGAATCATTCTCTCACCGAACTGGGATTGGCTGGAAACAGTATCCCATGCCAGCTATTGGGACAGATAGGTGTTATACCACGCTTTCTCGAATGTTTGTTGATTTTCTTATTGTACAACGTTAACGATCCCTTTTTTTTTTTCTTTTTTTTCTTTCTTTTTTTTTCCAGTTAATGATTTACATTGTATTTGCAAATAAGAAAGACATAGATACAAATATATACATTGGAGCTATTGTGCACTAGACAGCTTACTTCAGAGGAATCGTACGAGGCAGTCGATGACAGAGGATTGCAGTGATCCTGTAGTCATTCCTGCAATCGTAAGTAGATTTCTTTTAGTGCTGTGGAAGCATGCATGCCGCTGTGCGTTTTTAGCTCCTCATTCATTGCAATTTTTTAAACAAATAAGTTTACATGGTAATTGAGCTGTCACTTTACATGTAGTTTGACAATCAAGAATTTTTTCATGCATACACCAGAATATTTTTATTATTTACATTTTTGTGTTCGTGAAGTGCCTAAGTGGGGCCTTCAGTCTGAGAATTACACCCGAATTTCAATTGCAGTGTCCATCTCAGTGTCATGTCCCAGCATGTACGGAAGCTTCATCAACCGCAGTGAGTGGAAGCCCAAGCACTCGAAAAGCTAAAAAGATCAGTCAGGATGAGTTAGAATCTCTTCGTAAAAACCTGGTGAGTTTTTTTTTTTATCTTCCGGTATCATTTGTATAGTATAGGTCAAAAAATCGTTTCTTTCATAAACAGGCAACCTCTATCCTAATCGACAGCTTCTATGTAGATGAAACTTGAACTGGGGGATTTATTATCATTATAGGATCAGTTTATTTTCAAAACAAACTTTGAAACGGCAAAGGTTTTGTAAATGTTCAAAATGTGTCTTCAACAACGGAAGTTCCTGTTTTGTTTATTCATGCATGCCATGAGAAGCCAATGCTTAATACGATTGAACCACTCTGATGGAATTAAAGGATGATGCGAAGGCGGAATGTTTTGACTTGGAAAAGCAAAAGTGCGATGCTGTGTGTCATCTGAAGGTAACCATCTCGGTTTTTTCATATTTGTTTTATGCTGTGACTTGCTTGCCAATTGGGTACAACATTTCAACAATTATGTATCAACATACCTTCGTAATGTTCCATATATTTGAAATCGTAGCAGGTAAATTGTAGAAAGCTTCATGTTACAGCACTTGTCGTAGAATATCGGTACAGAAATAATAAAAAAAATTAAATACGTAAATTACGCTGAAGTACTTTGATACTTATTTGCTTGAAGATGAGGAGAGTAAAGAAAGATCTCATGGGAACCTGAATAATAATGTGCCCTTGAAATCTTATTGGTGGGTCTCATGGACGAGGTTGGTAAAATCTTGCGGCCTCATGAAGTTTGGCACCTAGAATTTCTCATCGAATTCCACCGAAGGTCACTGCATAATGTGTAATGAGTAATTTTTACCGTTTGGAACTTGCCCTTCTGATAAGGCCTGTCGAGCGGAAATGGATAAAGAGATCAAGCGCCGGGGAAAAGCAGAGCGCGAGACTGAGGAAGTCAGAATGGAATACATTAAACTCAAACAGGCAGGAATCAATAGCCCATCTTGGTGCATAGATATTTGAGATTGAAGTAGGTTCAGCTCAAGCAGCAAGTCACTGGAAAGAAATCTAAATAGTGCGATAATTGAGATTATACTATCAATGTCGAGCGTTATTGTCCACATCTTCATTCATTTCTTTACTCTAGAGGCATTTCCTAACCTTTGCAGTTTTGCGTTCATGGCTGACAAAAACCTTATCATATCTTCATTTGTGATTTTATTAGGAAATATGTTGCCTCCAAGACAAGTTGCAGTGCAACATTTGTGAATCCAGTGAGATAATAGTTCTTGAAGTGAGCTCGTGATTGCCCTTCTGTACTTCTTGTCTAAAATGATTATAAACTAGGTACTGGTCTTCACTAAAGCGTCAACTGCAACGTTAACGGTGAAAGTTTTAGAAACTAATTTTTTTCCATTTCCTTGTAGTTGCTGCGAGTCTTTCATAGTTATCGAATTTGAATGAATTCTGAGTCGAACACTTTTCTATTTCCAGACAGAATTAATGCGCAGAAAGGAGAGCGAAAAAGCAGCCCTAGAACGTGAAGCAGAAACTATCAAGGAGATTCAGTATTTGGCAGATCAGGTTTGAAGTGTTTGTTCAGTGTTCGGGTGATGCCCGTGCACATTGTGTAGATTTTTTTTGTAAGAGCCAATTGAAATCAGCATTAAAATGTTCAGCATTGGTGATCGGTGAATCAATCCGATTCAATGGAGGATTCAACTTCTTCGGCAGTAATGAGTGACCTCTGCTCTGAATGGACGTAGGTTATGCGATAATGAGCTTGCCGTCGCCTTGTATCCAAACCAAGCAGTTATTCTTCTCTCGTGTTAAATTTAATGGTCGCGTTCATGTCCCTCGTATGCTAATGCTCAAATACATCGCTCAGTATGTTCACTTAGCAAAACAATCCCTACCCAGAGAACTAGAACTAACTTCATATTATGGTTTGTGCAGTTAGCATTGTTGCGAGAAGACAGCAATAAACGCATAAAGGCCATAGAAAGTAATATTACATTGACTCTCAAACCAAATAGATGTAGAACTTCTACGTCTTGTCTCTTTAATGCCTTCAGTAATGTCTACATGGAAGCCTCTGCACAGTAAGGCAGCAAAACCACTGTGTTCGACACTGATTATTTTCAATCCTTCTGTAGCAACATCCAAGAATGATGCTGAGTACAATTTTGGCGTGATACAAAAGCTGGAAAGTTCTAATTCTCAACGCGATCAAAAGCACCTTGAGGAGGTCCAGAAAGACACAGAGCTCTTCTTCGAATTTAAAGTCAAATATGAACACAAAGAGGTTTCATAATCCTTTGTAATCAAATTGTTATTGAAAGCATAAAGGTGCTTTAATCAACAGAACTTTGGTTTTCTGCGTGCAGACCGAGGCATTAAGATCCCAGTTACAAGCTGAAATAGACTCACTGAAGTCTAAGAAGTGTAACCTAATGATGGTGAGTGACACTACACACAGATTTATCATGGCTCGTATCAGTTGGTAAGAGAACGAGTCCTGGCTGTTTCTCTAACAAGACGTATTTACTCATAGGAAGTTGAAAAGCAGAAGACTAATACTAAGCTCATCGAACAGCTACTAGCAAACCAGCAGCAGGTTCTCCAACAGGAAAAGGTCAGAATATTTGTGCTCATTTATGTATCTAATAGAATAGACGGTACGTGAGGAAAGACTGTTGTCACAAACTTGTAAGCGTCATCTGCGTGACTTATTCTAAACTATCAGACATTTCCATTAGTAGAGAAAGTCGCCATGTTGAGTTCATATTTACCGCTGGTGTTTTGAGATCTGTTTCAGGAAGCTATTGAACAAGAGCTAAAACATCAAGTTTCAGTGCAAATGGTGGAGATAGAATGCCTACAGGTGAGGCCTCTGATAGATTTCTGATTCACCTCGGCGGGTCTTTCATTGGTGCCTTTGTGTGGTCTAGTGTGAAACTTCAATGAGCTGAGGTCCAACTAGCAAATTATGAATTCTACAAGATTGTGCACGATCCTCAATGATTTGCGAATGTTGTAAGAGGAAAAGCATTCAGAGCTTGAATTTCCTGACTACACGTCCTAAGATTGCCTCTATGAAACCGAAAGTAACCTACTTCTGCTTTTGCGACAGCATCGATTGGACGATAAAGACAGGGAGCTTGCAAAAATAAACCAGGTCTATCATCATACAGAAGGGTGACCTCATGAAGTCTTCACTAGAATAAATCCTACCATTTTCTTCATGAAGGCACATTCCTCTGGTGTCTCCAATAAGAAATGCTTTCATTTGCAACTATCCCCAGGGCTTTGGTTCCTGAAAACTTGGATTTGTCTGACATCGGTGACAAGAAAGCACTGGGGTGATCATGGATCCAATTGTTACAGTAACCATCGGATTACTCGACGATTTACTCGTGATGAATGCTGTTGGTTGGTGATGACAGAAACATGACGAATGTATGCAAGCCATGGAGAATGATTTAAGGAAAGAGAGGGCATCAGTAAAAAGAGCTGACCTTGATAAAGCTCATGCAGAACAAAAAATTGCTAGTGTTGAAGCTAGCATGGTATTGTAGCCGCTTAAATTTTGAACGATTATCTTGGTGTATGCAATGGGAGGGTTTTGCACCTCAAGTTTGGGAAGTCCATTGCGATCCACATGTTCTGACCAATGAACTCTAATAAGAAACTCTAGTTGTTCCCGAGCAGAAGATAAAGCAATTAGGAAAAGCTCTAACAATGATTTCAGTTCTGACAGAAACAATTGAAGGAGAAATACAAAGCAGAGCAGCAGAAGTCGATGCTTCTTGGAGAGAAAATTTTAGCGGATGAACTCAAACATAATTCCAGTACGATCGCTTTGAACAGCAAAGTAAGTCTAGCATTGAATAGTTTATTGAGTTTGGACACGTGAGCATGTGCTAGTCCTACTTTGTCCCAAGGTTTCTTTCCATCAGGTGAGGTCTGTTGGATGCACAGCACTCAGAAGAACAAGAAATGATGAGGAGAGATTTATTTCAACAACGAAAGCAGACAGACGCTTTGCTAATGCAACTAAAAGAGGTATAGGAAAAAAAAAATTACACTTGTTTCAAATATTTAGCTTATAACTGAATTCTAAACATGATAACAGCACTCAAATTGGACCAATACCTAGAAAGGAAAACCTTCTAAGATGTGAAGGAAGAAAATATATTCGTAAATACAACACTCAAACCTGAAGCATTTACGTGCAGATGCAAGCAGAACATGACAGGAGGATGAAAGACATTGACATTCAAGTAAGAGGGGCAGAAACAACGCTAGTGGAATGCGTTCAACAACAATTCTCCGCCCTTCAGGCAGCATTAAACTTTCATGCTTCAGTCCCAGCCATCGAGTAGTAAGTCTCTCAGTAATCTGAATAAGCAATATATATCACTACTTTGCTAACGCACAATGTACCTTAACACTGACATCGAATCGCATTTCAGATCGGCTCTCAACTACGCAAGTTATACTTCCTTTGCCGTAAACAATTCACTCCTAACTGCCTTTTGTCCTGCAGCAATCAGCAGATATAGATGGGATCGTCAGATCAACCCCGATATACCAATTGAGTATTCGGACGAAACTGAACCAGAAGAAACTCGTAGACCACACATGCCTCAGAACGTCGCCAACTCTCATGTCTCCAAGAAACCTCGAACTAACCAACCGATGGATAATCAGTCTCCAATTTCCAATGACTGATCAATAGCCAACCAATCTCCAGTTATGTCCCCAACGGCTTCTCGAACAACCTTATCAATGACGGAAGTCGTCCCTACGACTTCAAGAGTTTCTAAAACAAGCTAACTCATGAAAAATGTACTTCTTCATCATTATCTAAGAAGCTCTCAAACCAGCCGGACAAAAGTAGACCATGGGCGCCTAATGCCATCTTTAAGCTCAACAAATTTGGTCCAGCGCGTCCAATGTGAAAAATTGGATCAACTAAAGAGGATTTGGTGTCGAACGACAGAGAACGTATCACACCGACGCGCTGTGATTCAGCTTTCCACCGAGGCCACCAAGCATTGAAATGAACATCTTGATGAGAGTCAACCACTCCAACACATACTATATGTAATAGATTGGCATGCTCGTTTTGCACTTCCCTGCAGAATCAGGGTTATTTTTAGTCAATTACACCACATATCCCTTGCGATCACAACCACAGCTGAAACCATTCATACTCTTTGAGTCATTGATTTATAGAGATACAGACTGATGCCATCTACTTTGACCACCGAAGCTGGCTTAAGAGCTTCAAATGGCCAGCAGAAAGAGACCACACGAGCTCCCGACGGCAACTGCTCACGCAACATTGGAAGTAGACGAGCATTGCCTTTGGTGCTCAAGTACAATGTCACTACTGTGGCTTTCGTCAGATCCGTGGAGAATGCATCCTTCCGCTCCACAGTTATCAAGTGATTGAGATTTTCTTTAGCAACCGCTCTCTGTGCCTCTGCAAACAAAGCTGGGTCCAGCTCCACCCCGTAACCTTGCGCACCAAACTCCTCGGCAGCTGAAAAGATATCATCAACATCAAAAAAACGGCTTGCTTGCGATGCAACACAGTAAGTGATTACAAAGACCTAAACCTAGGAATGTCCACACTGAAAGTATAATTCCCAGCTGCATTTAGACGATTGCTCAACTTCATACGCTGATTCTTCCAAGCGCAAGTTCAGGGCTTAGGGTATTCCGTCATAAAAAACCTCCGTAGCATCTTGAAATTGAAATTGCACATTTGAGGGATAAATTAGATGATTCCTAAAAAAATTACGGTTACATTTCGACTGGTGGATCGGGACTCCGAAGCTTTACCGAATTAAAAACGAGAGCACACCTGAAGCACCTCATGTACGTGAATTACCCACTGAGACAGAGGAGAATATCAGACTAACCAGCAATGAGCAAGCGCGCATCACCGCATCCAAGGTCGACGACGAGGTCACCTGGTCCAACTGCAGCTAGCTTGAGCATGCGATGGGCGACATGGGCGGGTGTGCCGACGTGCGGTGCGAGACGGAGCCCCGCCCAGTAGCGCAGCCACAAACCCAACCGCAGCTTCTGCACCACCGCCATCGCTACCCTCCTCACAACATCACCGCCATGGAATCCACTGCAACAAAAACCCTGGTTCCTCGTGATTAGACTAATGAACCGATTCTCCCCTTACGAACCCACCCCAGGATTGCACATCGGCCGCCGAATTGTGGATGCCATGCGGTGTGTTTCCACAACTGCATTGGCCTTCGCAGACTTGGGCGGTGGAGACACACAACTGCTGAACTTGAACAGCATCCCTTCATCGACCAAAGCCGTTGTTCATGTTCAGCGCAGTCGATCCATTGTCAGGCCAAGACAACTTGTTGCCTTGAATCAGCTCATTCCATATTGAACGATATTCTTTTTATACCAGCAAAACAATTATTATACCGCATGTTATTAAAGTTTAGAACGTTTTCATTTTCTGATGTAGTAGATATAGGAGTTTATTACAACCGGAGAAGGTGAGAAATTTCAACTTTTTAACTTTGCAAGTTGAAGACTTTTGTCTTATTTAGTTGGCCAATAGATGTGAGAAGAAAAGATGAGGTGAAACATATCTTCATTTTACATTGCAAGAATAGTGTTGTCCCTAGGATTTGTAGTAGACTCACTTTAAATTTTTTTTTTTTTTTTTTTGTGAGAATCAAGATATGAGTTGATTCGTTTGAATTTAAAATAAAAGATAATGATTTGGATTATTTTATGAATTCCTCTTCGTTTATTTTATCTTCAAAAGTCAAGACTTTTATAATGATCTGATTTTCACCAAAAGTCCTCTGTATAGTTTTTGTACAATGTCCTTTCAAGGCTTTAATCCAAAAAAAAAACCTTTTCATAAATTCACATCTATACCTTTTCTTGTCATCAAGAAGGTGTATGATTTGATAAGTAAAAAGTAGTAAAGAATATTTGAAATATAACTTGGTGCAACTTTTTCTGTGTGGATGTAAGTCTAGATGGATAAATAAATTTTCTTATTAAAATACTCTCAACTACTGTGCAACTCTTTGAATGCAGTCTTTAATTTCATGAAAGGGTTGTGGCATTTGCCAGATTTTTTAATCGAAGGACTTGCAAGGTAATGTAAGGACTTGCTGAATGTAAGTTACATTCAGCATTGGTTTTGTTGTTCTTAAACCATATTCATGTAAAAAAATACACATATAATTATGCGTTTGAGTCAACCAAATTACTAAAATCAAATTATTAAAATGTGTGAATTTGAATAAAGGTATCAATCGATCAAATTTAAAATAAATTTGTTACGATTTTCCAGGAGTTAAACATACGATTACAGAGAGTCCAACATGAAGAACAAAAGGCATGCAGTGGAGTGGCTTTTGCATGGTTCACAGATTGTAGTGTACCTAGACCTACACACTTTGGACAAAATCATACAATGTGGTCAAGGCCACATAATTTCCTTCTTGACCTAAGCTTCAACTTACTCTCTCTCCGGATATCCTTGCCTTCATTGATGAAGATGCCTAAGCTCAATCATGTCTAACTTTCATCAAATTTACTCAGACAAAATGTCCTTCACAACTAGAACTACAAGATTAGATAAATGTCAATCTAATTGAATCTTTGATAGTCGTGTCACGCATTCAAATGCTCCAACAAGCTATTTTGCATTTACTTTTGTATTTGAAACCAATGCAAAAGATGCCCTCATCCAAAGCTCCTTGCACTTTGGCTCCCACTTGCTTTACTTCCAACCATGGTGCCTATAGTTTGATATGTTTATGCTAGGTAGAATCAAACTCCTACTATGAATCTAGGTCTTTAAGTTGGATGACATCTTCTATATAGCACTCCCTTTAATATGTGCTCAAAATAGAGAAGTTATATAGATTGGATCTCAAGACAATTATCTCAAAAAATCTTTGATTCTCTAGCTATAGATACTAATTACAAAGTTCAAGAAGACTCCCTCAATAGTTACATTGCTGATTCTATTCTCAATTGATGAAGTAAAGATTAAAATAGAATATAAAAGAATCTCCTACCAATACAACATGTGTTTAGAATTAGAATACAAAACCACATAATACCCCTACAAGTCAATTGAGAACAAGAAAATACAAGAAGGAGCCTGCTTTAACTAAACCACTATCCAACCTAATATCCACTACCATCTAATATGTAATAAGTTGCAAGAAAGAAGCAGTTATTATTAATACTCAAGAAATGGAATAGACTACTACAATAGTCTTTGATACTATGGCACTATACTTTGGACCACAAACCTCTTTTTTTGATCTCTCCTTCTTTCCCTCTCCCTTCCTTCCCTTCCACTTTTCCATCTCCATCAAACATATTAAAATAGAGAGTAATTGAAAAAAAAGACAAAGTAACAAAACCTTCCTATTTGAGAATACATCAATGATATTTTTAGAAAAATTAAAAGAATTAGGATTTTCCTATCTTTCAATACTACTCAAATACTAGATGAGATATATAAGAATTGTTGGAACTAACTTTACACTAACTTATTATATGCTTATGGTATAGGATGTAAATTTCTTTCTTCACAAGGATGGAATGATACATAATTAATCCATCAATAGTAGAGATTAGTAGATGGTAGTATAATCTCTCATGTTGTTACAAAATTGAAAATCCTTCTAGAAAATAATACTTTTTACTTTAATGAATCCTTGTTTCAATTAAATGATATAAATGAACTCAAAATGTGGATATGCCTAGACTAAGTAATGTCACCAAAAGATAAATTTCCATTTATAATACATACACATTACAAAGATATTGAGATTTAGTCATTTGGACGAGAAGACAACCTCAACATTATGCTTATTGAGCTAAAACATCATATTGTCAAAGACATATATATTTACTTAGATAAAAAATATTAAGTAGAAGGTAAATTTAGATAGATTTAATACTATCTTATGGCAAAGTTTTTGAGAAGTTTTATAGATACATATTTGACTTTAAACATATTTATAATTGATTGATAGATTAGAAACTTGGCCAATAAGTTAGTCATGTGATGTACATGTCAATAGCTTATAATACAAGCTAATCATATGGCACACACATAAAAAAATTATTTTGTAAGTTAAATATGTATTTTGTAAGTTGGACATGTATTGGAGGTCTTATAGAATGTTGCCACATAGCTCCTAATTAAATAATAAACATAGAGGTAAGAGTAAAGACTTCTTCACTCTTCTCAACATCTTTTTAGTTCTTAATCTTGTTTCAAGACTTTTTAATCTTCTTATCTTTGACTATAGCTATTTCAATTTCAATACTTTATTAGTTTTGAGTGATATCTACTCTTTTCAAGTGACACAAGAGTGTAATGAGTTTTTATTTGTTTGAGATTCATATCCTCGACACATATTGATTTTTTTTTTCTATTCAGTCAAGAACTCACCATTACAACCTCCTAAGAAAAAATATAATAACAAAGAGGGAGAGTTCTATAAGATTGAAATTAGAAAGTAAGTTGCATCAAAATATTTATCTCTCATACTAGGCCTCACAAGCGTGCTACCAATTCTTCATCTCCAACTACACCTAGTGTCAAGGACAAGAACTCGATAAAAAGGCAATTCAGACAAGTGAGCCTTTACTCAAAGAAAGGTAACAAAATATAAATAAACAAGTATGTATATTGAGAGAGAAACTGGGATGGCTATTGCCAAAAGACAAGAAAATTAGAGACCCTTGAAACTAGACTAGAAGCAAGAAAGGGGTTGACAAGAGTGAAGAAGGCTTCACTCTTGTCTCTATATATACTATCTAACTAAGGGCTACGTGGCGACGTTCTATAGGACCTCTATTATGTGTTGACTTTATAGGACACATGCCTTGACTTACAAGGTAAGTTTTTTCTACATGTGGGCCACATAGTTAGCTTGATCTTCAAGCTAATAACATGTTTGGCACATGGCCAACTTGTTGACCATGTTTCTAATCCAGAAAGTCAATTACAAACACCTATGAAGTCAAAGTAGTATCTATGAAGCTTCTAGGAAGCTTCCATATTAAATACTATAGAATTAATTTACTTTTATCTACTTGTATATGTAATTACTAGCTTACATGAGTATGTCCGTGACACCTAGTCAGATGAGCAACAACTTGACTACTATGCAACTCTTTTCTTATCTTCCATCTCCATTATTATCATCCTTAATCTCTCTATCCACAATTTTAATCATAATAATCTTAAGATACATCTCAAAATTAGCCACCAAATATATTCTAGTGAATTGTGATAGTGACAAATTAATATAGAGATAATTATGTCTTTCAAATGAAAGTTGGACAACATCCAACTTTTTCAAGGCTGCATTGATTGATAAACTAACAAGATAGCTTCCTAATTTAAATGCTCTCCACATCATCCTTCTTAAGATAATATACTTATCTATTGATAAATAAGTAATAATAGAAGATTATTTAATAGCAAAGATTTTTATTTTCTAAGCTTTTTCTAACTACACCATGTATTAGAAAGATAGCTTTGTAGTTTATTGCACCTAAATTTTTGACAAACAATACATTATTCATCTTAGCTTGGCATAGGATAGACTAATAGATCTCATCAAAGCCAATGATTCAATATGTATACTTCCAAACTCTATATCTTCTTTTAGAATATAAAGGACTTCTCCAATCTCAAAAGAAGTCTAATCAAATAATGATGATTTTGCTCCCATATAAAAACAATTCAACTACACCTTGGCATAGTTGTTTTATAAGAACATAAAATTCTTGTAGACCTTTGCAATAAAATAAGTTCTTTTGAAATAAACAAAGACAAACATTCTAGAATGAAACTATTCTCAATCCAAAGACCAATGGATTTAAATGTGGCATTGTGATCTTTGTAACAGTGGCATCAAAATATTATATGGTCGATGTAGGTATCAAAATAAATAGTCAAGCTTAGTAAATACTTTACTTCTTTAATATACACTCAATTGGCCTTCTTAACAACTATACCTCCAATCAGGGCTATGATTGTACTTTCTTTTGGGACACCATCAGCAATAGGCTATTTATTATAGATTCATGGATCTTTAGTAGGGATCTAAATATAGTTAAAAATGAGGAAGACCATAATAGAAATCTTCCAAAAATGCTAAGTCTAGACAAACAATCGGAGTGGGATAATCTTATCTTTAAGTTGGGACTCAAAATGAATGGTTTTTGGATAATTTTGACTATACCAACTTATTACTTTATTCATAGTTAAATAAATAAGAAAACAACTACCATCAACTTACATAATTTGATCATTATTATATAAGCAAATATATGCAAAAAAAAGGAA